GGAACCGTGCAACGCAGGAGAATACGAAGCTGAGGCTTGGCATCCCAGGCGTGGCGTTGGGGACAACACAGCAGCTGACCTTTGATCAGCGGGGGAGGGGAGGCCACGGGTGATCTGATTTGATAGAACCCTCTGCAGCCTCCGCGAGTAGGAGCGGGATACGACCCAATATCCAGCCCTGTCGCTTGTGCCAGGTTGCATCGTCGCGGCATGGAGTGCGCGCTCAACGAGCGAACATGAAGGTCGGGCCCGGTTCTCTGGGAAGGATCACAGCACGTGTCACCACGTCTTTCGCATGTCAGCCAAGACTTGGATGGCTTGCCGATCATTAGGATGTTTGAATATTCATGCAAAACACGAGTCTCGATGGTGGTTGTGAGTGTAAGACGGAGCAATGAACATGCGTCTCCTGCCGCCCCCATCACCGCCACCTGCAAAGATGTTTCGAGGGAAGAGACGAGCAGGAGCTGAGGTTCACCGAAGTCAATGAGACAGCAGCGGTGAAGCTATAGGAAGCTATGGACTATAGTTGCTGCGATTGAAGGAACTTGCTCAGGAACGGCCTAACCTGCAACGTTCAACAGTTCAACCCAATCTTACAAAGCAGCAAACACCATCAAGCGCTCCTCGCCTTGACATACTCCCTGACAATCTCCCCCAATTCCCTCCCCTTCAACCCCCAACTCCCTATTTCGCAAAATCTTAGGATATACACAGGTTGTACATCTACTGGCTTAGCAGCCCCGGTAGGTCGCTGCGTGTCTGCTTAGAGAGGACTAGAACTGGTAGCTATAAGGATAGGAAACCGCACATTTTGAACAATAACAAGAACCTGAAGCTGTCGTTGTTGTAGGAAGGGCGAAGACTTGAATCTCGTCCTACATGTGTAGTGATTAACGCCCCTGGAGAACAGTTGGGCTGATGCGTTGTTGTTGTTGAGGCACAAGAACCCCGCAGCTCGCGTGCCTGACGCGTCCAGGCCCAGTGTTGGGTCTGGTATGACTTGAAACTTTCTCAACAATAGCCCCTCCAAGCCGCCCAAGTGAACCTTCCATCTCGCCATCAAAGATGGACCGCCTCCCAGAAGAAATCGTCGACAACATCATCTCGCACCTCGCTGCAGGCAGCCGCGACGGCATCCATGAGAATAACTGGGTGGACTCCGACGGCAGCTGGATCGACAACGACCCGGCGTGGGCCGCGCTCGCCCCGTACGCGACCGTGTCGCGCCGATGGCAGGAGCCCGTCGAGGCCAGGACCTTTGCGCGCATCATCCTCACCCCGGAGCGGTTGGCGTCACCACTCGCAGCGCAGGCCCTGACACCGGACCGTGTACGCCGCTTTGTCCGCTCCGTCCAGGTCCATGTGGTGCTGCCGACGTATGACGAGGAGGCACGGGGGCGGCGCGAGGACGACGCCGACAGGGCTGCCAACGACGCCGCGTTTACGGAGGTTGTCCGGAACGTGTTTGCTTTGTTGTCGTCGGTTGACACCGCCACGGACGGATATCGCCCCAAGATTCGCCTGTCTATGGCGGCTCGGTGCGTCAGCGACACAAAGGACTGGGAGGCGAGGAAGTGGGAGTACAATGTAGGCCACGAACCCAACGACATCTTCGAGGCGCGCTACAAAAGCTCCTACCTTGACCTCGAAAGATCGATTCAGGACGGAACGGACGCCCTGCCCGAGCTGCGTTGCATTTCCGAGTTTCAGGTTCGTTCCATTGCTGGCCCAGCCCCGCATTATCGGCATTTTGCACCGCGAGTAGTTTGTCTGATGGCGTCGAAAATGTCGTGTTTGGAGACTGTCGACTGGGACCTCAAGGACGACATGGACCACGACAGAAGGGATGTTGAGCGTAGGAAGAAGTTGAGAGCAGGTTAGCTATGCCTCTCAGCTATAGTTGGCCTAGAGGCACCGACTTACCAAGCGGGACTTGTAGATTTTGCCGACAGTTTGCAAACACTTCCTTCCACTCTTCGGTGGTTTCGTCTTGGGTACTGGTGTCACGAACCCACGGATCAATACTTTGAATGCCCAAGCATCTTGGAAGACGTGGCAAATCAGAGCAACAGCGACAAGTTGAGCGTTGCTCTACATAAGCTCTCTCAACAACTCGCCTACTTCGACTTGATCGCTGAAGTTGGCCCGGAGGTTCTTTGGCCATCGGGATCTACAGATCGGAACAAGGGGAAGCACCAGGGACAGCAAAAAGAAGAGGACGACGAGGACGGCGCTTTCTCTCCCCCGCTTTGGCCGTCCATGCTCCGGTGCTCTGTCTGCCCGGGCGCTATTGCCCCGTCGGGGAAGTGGCTCTTCCGACGGCGAGCGGTCGCTTCCGATTCGGACCACTCGGACAACGGAACGGACGGAACGGACTCGGACAGGGGTGAACGCGAACACTATTTCCGCGACGAGCCCGACCCGGAACACGTCTCCCCCTTATTTATGGCCGCCGCGCGGGCTGCGGGCCGGATGCCGGCGCTATTGAGTCTGGACTTTAGATTAAACTCGCCTATGAACATGGGAGGGGTAGCGGTCACGTATACAGTGCCCCGCGGGGGCCGTCCAACTTTTGAGGGGACTCCGCCTGGCATGGCGGAATTGTTTGTTGAGTCGGAGCCTCCGTTTCAGCAGGGCGAGGAGGTCATGCAGGCTTGGAGGGAAGCTGCAAGGGGACATACGGGCACGGAATCCGGGCTTGCGGTGGTGATCAAGGAATTCCCTTGGTTATGATGGGCGGCATAGGCTAACCTAGGCCAACTGGTCTGGAGAGGGAAGAAAAAAGCAGAAAGTTAAAGGGGTCAGAAAGGAAAAGCTGTATCACATCCCGTTCTCACGCCCACGCCGCGGGAAAAGGGTTGGTCCAAGGCTTCTGCAAGAAGGTCTTGTAGGCCGCCTGCTTGGTGCTGGCCTTCGTGAATTCCTCGTAGACATACTTGCGCCAGTTTATGGAAGAATCCAGGTGGGAAAATGCAAGTCAACTAACACATTGACGGTTGAATCGTTCACGCCTGAGCCCTACACCTTGCCTATAGCCAGGAAGCAACTCCAAACTGATACCCCCAATCACATTTCGCCCGCCTATTCATGTTGAAAGAGATCATGAGCATAGTCACTGCTCACCCTTCCTTCCATCAATGGCCCACCATCTTCTGGAGCGTCTCGCTATACCGATTCCCCTGCGGCTTGGCCTCCTCGACGATGCGGCGCATCTCGGCCATCTCGGCCTCGGTCAGCTCCACCTCGCGCGACGCCCAGTTCTCCTCCAGCCGGTGGGCCTTGGTCGTGCCCGGGATGGCGAGGAAGCCCTGGGCGGCGACCCAGGCTAGGGCGACCTGCGTGGTGGTGCAGCCCTTTTTGGCGGCGAGCTTCTGCATCTCGCCAACGATGGCGCGGTTCTTGTAGAAGTTCTCGCCTTGGAACTTGGGGACTAAAGGTGAGTGACACAACAAATATGAGCATGTCTGTCATTTGTCGGCTGTTTAAAGAAGGAACGGGGACTCACTGCTGCGGCGGCCGTCGTTGGGGGCAAAGTCATCGGGACTGTTGTACGCAAAGTCATCCACCAGCCAGCCGTGGCCCAGCGGGCCGTAGGCTACGTAGGCTACGCCGAGTTCTCGGGCGGCGTCGATCAGGCCGTCCGTCTCATGCAGCGTCTCGAACGCAGAGTACTCTGCCTGGACGGCGTCAATCTTGGCGACTGCGAACGCGTTAGTTGGTACGCTGTGTCCAAGATTGCAGCCGTGAAATGCTTCTTACTGGAGTGTGCTTTGCGCAAGGTCGCGGCCGAGCATTCCGAGAGTCCAATGTATTTCGTCTTGCCCCTCCTTCGCAGCTCGTCGAGGACAGGGATCGACTCCTCAAGGGACGTGTCTGCAGTGGATGGGAGCGTCAGCGGATGCAAAGTTGCGGCAAGGGACGCGGCGGCCATCGTACTCGGATCAATACGATGGAGGTAGTACAGGTCAGGGGCAGATCCAAGCCTCTCAATGGTCCCCTCGATGTACTCTCTGATGTGGGAGGGCTTGTTGGTGACGGTCATCTGCGGAGTGCTCATGTCGAGAGCCTTGGATGGTAACACGATACCGCACTTGGATGCAACTGTGGGAAATCAATCAGATACAAGATGTACAATGGCCGAGTGAGACTGAAGCGTACGGAAGATCTTGTCGCGACAATTGTGTTTGCGAATGAAGTCCCCAAGGAGTTTCTCGTTGACTCCGGCGCCGTAGATAACCTTGTCAGGTCAGCACAGCAATGACTACAATCATGGATGGCTGCGGTTGAGGTGATGTCAATAGGAGTACGGGCTTACTGCCGTGTCCCAGAATGTGCATCCAAGCTCAAGTGCTTTGAGCAGAACCGGCTCGGCTTGTTCCAAAGTGAGGTTTGTCCCGAGGCCATGGTTAAAGCCCATTGCCCCAAAGCCAGGGACGGGGATCTCGATGTCGCCGAAGGGGAGCGTTTTGACCATCGTGAAGGGCCTATTGCTGTCCCGAGGAGAAAGTTGAAGGTATTGGTGGTCACAAACAACGTGCCCCGAAAGGAGCTCATCTTCAAATTGAGGTTCGATCCCATTGTCTTAAAGGTTGAGAGTATAAAGTGGCCCGCCGGGGGGGAAGACATTATCTCCGAAGGAATATAGTACAGATTCGGCGATAAGCCCCGGAGTTTGACGACAATTCACCACAAGTCGCTTTTCTCAACCGAGCTGGTCGATTCGGCGTTTTGGAAGCCCCGACGAGTACCTCTCTTCACAGTTAATACTCTGGGGTTCTGAAGTTCAGGGGGCGACCGGGCGTTCCTCGGAGCGGATCATGCCCACCATGACGGATAGGTCACATACCTACCTTCCTGTCTTGTGGCGAAGGGCAGGAGGAGTGAATGAGCCGGCTTAAGTATGGTTAACCAACGCGCGAACCCTACCTAGGTAACCCAGTGCCCACAGCACACAAAAACTGCAAAAATCTCTCAACAACACATCAGACTTGAAGACTTGGGCGACCCAGGAATCGAACCTGGGTTTCTTCGGATAGTTGGGAATCTACCGGAGACCACAACGAAACGTCCTGACCACTAGACTAGTCACCCCTGAGCTTGGTGAGCGGGGGTGGTGGATTACCCCCTTTTCGAGGAAGGATGTGGACCATGGAGGTCGCCCGAACCGATCAACAACGAGGTCTGGAAAACAAACAACCGAGGAACATAAATCGGAAAAAACCCCATCCCTTCCCGCCCCCCTCAATTTCTCAGTGTGATGGTGTTTCAAGACCGCGCGGGTTAATTAGGTTCAGGGGCTGGGAAGCACGGCCGAAGATTCCTATCCCCCCGAATCTTCACCTCAAAACTACCTATCTAAGACCGGTCCCGGGGTATTGGTGGATGGCTCACATCACTGGATGAAAGGAACCAGGGTTATATGTCGACATGTCCACATCCATGGCCTCCCCATCCCCAACCTCCGACCCCCTCGTAGCCTCAAGACTCTGGGTATCCGAGTCCTCGTAGCACTGGGGCACCTCGCCGTCGGCATCAAGGGAAGAAGCCCCATCATCAGTTGCCGCTCCCTGTTGTAACAGGTCCATCCACTCCTGCGCCGATGTCCGCTGCTGATCCATGGTGTTGAGCAGCAACGCGTCCCCCTGAGATACGACGAGCTGCCCTGGGGGGGTGTCAGACCTCAAGTTTGAGGAGTCATCGTCCAGGCCACTTTGGGGTGCGTCCTGTGGCTGCCAGGGTGTCATGGTTTCCATTTCGGTGTGGTTCGACGCCGAATATATCGGGTTATTGATGGCACAAGCGCGCAGGGTTGATGCCAGGCCATTGGCAGGACAGCTGGGCGTGTCTTTTTTGTCCAGCGGCGTGAGTGGTGGCTGATGGGTTGAGAACGGAGTTAAAGTTGGCCTTAGCCGGGTTGGACGTCTTGCCAGTGTCCAGAAGGGCTCGTTGCCCGGGGGGTATCTCGCCTCCGCTGCTGTCGCCACTGTTAACCTGGCTGCAGGGTATTACAATCTGGAAGAGCGGGAACCTACTGAGGAATCCCAGATTGATGCGGCCAGTCGTTTCGGGCAAGCCTTGCACGCGCTGACTGCCGTGCAATGGCGTGGTCGTATGCCTGTCCGGCCGGGGACCTGGCGTCTCCGGCGTTGTGTGATCCTCAGGTGGAGGCATCGTAAAGGAACCATGAATGATTTTGGCGAGATTTGTGGAAGAATTTGTCCATGTAATTGTGGAACTGGTGTTTCGTGCTCAAACCCTGGGAGGGTCGAAGTGTTGAAACTCATATATGCCGAGCTACAATTACACATTGTGCGATGGGTTTGCTGCACGACTGGGACAGGTGACTCCAGAGCTTTCGCCATCTCTTGTGCATAATTCGGATCAGCTGCAAAACAGGTGCTGTTTTAACAAAGTATGTGAGCGGGGTTTACATGTACATGATGCACCACGGTTGCGCCCGGCTACAGTGAGAGCATCTCTGACACAAAGGCAAGGCGTTTTTGGCAAAGGCGAAGAATTACTTTGCGCTATCTGATTAAGGCAACACTCAAAGACTACACATTCTTGGCGACTTTCCTTAGTTTGGGTTCAGAGGTGAAAAGGAGACACCAAGGTAATCACGCAGTAACGCAGCACATGCCTGCTCGTCATTTGCTGGCAACTATGATGTAGATATTATATGTAAGAAAGAAAGGCAAGCACTTCAATGTATGTAGATCTCCGAGGCCCGAGGCCAAGTCAAACCGGCTACATACCTTATATAGTTAGGTAGTAATGAGACCAAATGTGGGAACTGGCCACGTTGTGGTAACTCGAGTACGCGGACTCAGGCTGGTAATTGGAGGTCATTTTGAAGTCCGCATGAAACGTGAGTTACTCATAAGGGGGTTTCCAGATCAGCCATCGAGCTGCCGACTGCCTCCCGAGTCTCAAGTCGGTCGAGATATCTGGTAGTTAGACCCGAGGACATGATCAATCCACACCTTTCTGCATGAACCAAGTTACCAAGTACCTACATGTATGTACATACAGAGATTCTCATGTCAGTTGCATTGGTCGTCCAACTAATCTCAGCCAGCTCCGTGCTGGCAATCATGCCATTAATAAAAGCAATCGTGGCCATAGACTGCAAAGAAGGCCAATATGTACACTCTTTGATTTTGGTGCGGTCTATTCAACTATTTTCTTTTCCACGTCCTCTACTCCAGCTTCGCGCGCGCCTCGATGAGCTCCAGGCTCCCGAACGCCTCCTTCATCTCAGGCACCTCCATGATGTTCTTCAGGTAAGCCTCCACGCCCGGAACCTGCTTCCGCATTTCCTTGTCCATGATATACTTGGTACTGGCCTGCAGCACACCCACAATCATGATATCGGCGAGCGTGAGCTGCCCACCAACAAGGAACTTCCTCCCGTCCTTGAGCTCAGCCTCGACCCGCCCCAGGGCGCGCTCAAACGCGGCAATGTGCATGTTGTACCGGGCTTCGTCGTACGGGAGGATCTTCACGGACATCAGGCCGGGCGGGGTCAGGTTGGCCGCGAGCTCCTGCTCGGCGAAGCACGACCACATGTCGATGAGGGCGCGCGTCTTGGCGTCGCCGGCCGCGCCGAGCAGCTGGTCGGCCTTGGGCCCGCTCTCGGCCACGTACCGCGCGATGGCCTGCCCCTCGGCCAGGTGGAAGCTGCCGTCGCCCGACTCGAAGCCGGGGATCTTGCCGAGCGGGAACTTGGCGAGGTACTCGGGGCTTTGGTTGGTCACGCCGGCTTGGAAGCCCGGGACGAGCTCGACGGTGAGGCCGTTCATGGCCGCGATGACCTCGCACTAGATGGGGGTCAGTAACAGAGGGGGTGGGTGGGGGGAGGAGTGAGGTGGGAGTGGAGGCTTACCCGCTGGACGCGGTAGTTGTTGGGGTAGGAGTAGAATCTACCGAAGGGAGCCATGGTGACCAAGACGTGAGACGGACTGGTTTGAGACTGAGAGTGACAGGAGTTGTGATTGCGTGCTCTAGAGACAAGATCACAATAGCAGTGGCAACATCCCTTCTCTTAAATACCGAACCCGTCCCCCCCTCTGGCAGCCTCACCTCCTCCTCACGTCGAATACGCCCGCCCTCGTACTCGACCAGACACCGTCGTAATATTGGGAGACGGGAATCGCTGTCAACGGCCAGTGCGGTACACAAATCGCTCTCAACAGGATCCAGTGGGCATTTCACAAGCTGCCGTGTAACCTCGCTTTCGAAAACGTTCCGTTCTCCCCAGTCGCGGCGGGAGTCGCGGGACAACCTAAAAGCTTCAAGCTCTGAGTGGAGAGGAAAACTCCCCGCGAAGTGGGCCGTCGAGCAACAACATGCTGGGCAACCGGGCGAAGAGACGGCCGACTTTACCAATCAAGACCCGCCCAAAGCGATCGACCCCTGGCCCCTGGCCGGGAGAACAGCACACCGCCCCAAAAAAAAAATTCCGAAGAAAAGGGGGCAAAAATCGGACCGGACAGACCAGTTCCTGACCTTGCTTTGGACGAGCTGGGAATCGAACCCAGGACCTTTCGCATACAGAGAAGCATGCTAAGCGAACGCTCTACCAACTGAGCCACACGCCCTTGGTGATGTTGTTGAGGTTCGACGTTCAGGGGGACGCGTCTTGACGCGGCGCTTTCGATGGGAGGGAGGTCCAGCAGCGAGACTAATGTCGGTGATATACACAAAGTAACAGCCAGCCCGTTATTTACAAACCCCCAGGCCATGATATGCAATCCGCGGTTCAACCAACCCAACCACCCCTACCCTCCCCCTCCTTATCCACACACACCGGACACCCCCCGGCAATGCGATCCCTCAGCAGCCTCGCATGCGTGACCTTGGCGCCGATGAGGTGTGTCGCCGACGCCCTCTGCTCGGCGACGCCATTCAGCACGACGTCCTCCACCTCCTTCCCCTGGGGGTGCAGCTTCTCCAGCAGATGCGTCAGGTGAAAGACGTGGCCGCACGCAAACCCGACCAGCGTCTCAACCTCCCACTCGACAAACGGCTCGAGGCACTGCGCGCAGTGGCCAGGCGTCCACTTCCTCGCCTTCCTACTGTCCGATGTCGGGCGGGCTGCTGCTGCTGCTGCTGCTGCTGCTGCTGCCACATCCCCGTTGGCATGAGCATGGGCAGGGGCTTTCTCAGCAGCAGCAGCAGCAGCAGCAGCGGGGGAAGGATCCCCGGCAAGAGGCGGCGCTGGTGCTGGTGCTGATGCTGCATCCTTCTCCCTCCCCGGAAGCCTGCCACCGCCGGCAACCTCAAACCGCACGCCCCTCCTCTGCCCCATCCTCAACAGCCCCTGCGCGGCCGCCACCTCGCTCCGCAGCACGCGCGCCACGCCCTCGCAGATGCTAAACTGGATCTCGTGCTCCTTCATGATGTGCTTGAGCCCCTCGCGGAGGCCCTCGACCTCGAGCCCCTCGGGGATGCGGCGCACGAGCGCGATGGGGTTAATGGCGGTGCCGACCTCCTCGAGCAGCGCGCGGATGAAGCGCGGCTTGTCCATGCTGTAGGTCAGCAGGTCCTCCCAGAGGTCCGGGTCGTCCTGGTCCTTGGCGAAGGCGATGGCGCGGCTGACGTCGGCGAGCCGGTCGATGATGAGGTAGAGGGCGCGCTTGGTCTGGCCGGTTTTGGAGTAGAGGTAGACAAGCTCGGGGATATAGTTGTGGGTTTCGCATTCTTGGGCGGCCTGGAAGGGCGGGTCAGTCAGTATCTGGGACATTAGATGGGGGAGGGGAGAGGGAGGGGTACCTTTTCGAAAGCGTAGGCGGTTGAGGTCTTGAGGAAGTCCATTAGAAGAGTTTGGTCGTGGGCGGCAAAGAGTTGCACGGCCAGGTCGGCGAACTGGTCGACCAGGGACTTGCTGTCGGTTACGAGGCGAGCGCGCGACTCGTCCGAGTGCTCGTGCATGCCCTCTCCCCGCCATAGGCCTCGGAGGTAGAAGAAGGTGTATAGGTGCAGCTTCTTCTCTTGTAGCTGGTTAATAACCACCTCGGGCTTCACTAGGCCGTGCTGTGCCTCGTCCACCAGCAGAGTGATGGCCTCCTCCGTCGCCTCCTCCAGTTCGG